AATTTTGCCCTCTATGTTATAATCACTGATATAGCTTTCCGTTTGTAATGAAAAAAAAAATAAGAAAAAGTACACCTTGGCATGTCAATGTGTCATGTACAAAGGTTTAACAACCTTTTGTGGAGATATGGTTACCTCAACGTAATTTATTTTGTCAGAGTAAAAAGGCCGTTAACTTGTTTCCTATATAATAATATGCATGCAAAAATTTCACCATGTTGGTTGGCTGAGAGCTTGTCGATTAATCCCAAACAGTGCAGAAAGTTGAAATTGAGTGCAAAAAGTTGGAATTAAAATGATTGACAGGAAAGTCGCGGAAGCCCAACCAAACAAAATGGCGGGCGGCTCAGAGAAAAGTGACGATATTTTAATACAGAGTTTGAAGAAGAATGTTATGAACAAAACACCCTACAAAGCTCAAATAACTAGGTAAAAGTCTGGAAGTCTTTGGCTGCTCAAAAGGGCTATGACGAAGGTATTGAAAAGAACGAACCGGGGGACCTGAACAAAATCCTCGAATAGTTTTACTTAACAGTTTGTAAGAAGGACAGGGACGATTACGAACCTGATAGCCTTCGTGTGATGGTTAATACTGAATTCATCGAGAAACCGACCAAAACTCGCCAGTCCGGACTATCCGCAAAGCCCAGAAGCTTCCTTCCAACAGTGTTTGTTGCTGGAGGTGATAGATGTCTCGTTATAATCCTCAAACAGTTTCTGTCGCGTTGTCCTTCCGAAATACGTACAACCGGTCCACTTTATCTGTCTTGTATGTCAAATCCATCCTCGCAAGTTTGGTACAAGCGACAGCCGATGGGAGTGAACAAGCTCAACGACATGATGAAGGCCGTAATCAAAGGAATGACCCTGGAAGATTCATGGAAAACCTTTTCCAACCACAGCGCCAGGAAAACAGTAGTAAAGGAACTGAAAACAGCACGCCTGGAGCGAAGTTCAGTCGTAAAAGTAGCGGGCCACCGAAACGAGAAGTCACTGGATGACTATGACGAAGGAGATGAAAATGAGCAGCGACACTCGCAGCAACAACTTCAACCAAGCAGGTTTTGCCGGTCAGATGCCAAGTTACATCTCTGGCCAGAATGATCAGCGTCAGTCTTTTATGAACATGAACCATTTCCACCAGTGTCAAGTCACTTTAAACATCGGAAGCACAGCAGCTCCTGAAAAGCGACAGTCAGCTTCTGAAAAGCCACAGTCAGCTGCACCGCATGGCGTGGACAATATTTCTAACTGATCAGTTCAGTTTTGGAAAAACTTCAATTGTTGAACATGTTGATCTTAATTAGAATCGACTGCTAACATTATCAAGTGAACCAGTTTTGACGTCTTTTCAGTCAGCCTTTTTCTTTGAGGTTCTCAAATTGAAAACGCTTTAGAATGATGGATGCTTCCAGAATTTGATCTTTGTCGATTGAACGATATTTTTGGTCGGGACTTTGTTTACAAGTTTTGGCATGTCAATCAAGGTTGTCATTAATCAACCAATAATGTTAATGTAGGTGGGACCAGCGAACCGCGACACGAAATAAACACGATCAAAGAAGAATCAGACTCAAATTTTTGCATGTATATTATTAACAAGTAATCAAATGATTTTTCTCGTGTAATTTGGAATAAATAAGCACTCGTAAATTTTAAAAAGACTACAAAAGACTACAAATTCCACGAGCCCGTAGGGCGAGTGCAATTTTTTGTAGTCTTTGAAAAATTTACTTGTGCTTATTTATTCCAAATAGCACTCGAAATCATTTGATTACCTATACAAATAACTTTCTATCTCTCTTAGACATTACCCGCAAGATTAAGTAAAGAAAACGATGTTTCCCTTTGATGACAACAATTATTGCGAAGATGCAAGAGACGCAGCTATCGTTTATAACATGCCAAGCATCAGCGATCTCGTCATCCAGATACTTTTGATTTGTAGATTCATTCATTTCAACATCCATTTTAATTTACATTTCAACTTAACGTAAACGTCATCAGGACAAAATAGCCTCGATTGGGTGGAAAACCTCTCTTTGACATCAATATTCTCCGCTTTAGTACACTACCATTGAAGGCTCTCGTGTTTATTCCTGGTATATTTGTTCTCCATGGATATATTTTGGACGTTTATAGCCTCATATATCTGTGACACAAGCAGGACAGTAATTGTGATCGTTAAAATCAAAAGACGAAAGCAGTTATCCCGACACAAGTGTGTTTAAATCATGTTATACGCAGTCGCCATTGTATTCATCGTCATCTTCGCACTCGAGGCAGCCGTCATCATCATTGGGAACGCGTTCACTATTTTTGTTTTCAAGACTCAATCTGGACTCCACCTTAAACGAACTTGCCTTCTTCTGATCAACCTGGCCGTCGCTGATCTACTCGTAGGCGTAGGAGAAGTTGTAGTCCTAGTAATTTACAGAATTCCGAGAAGTGATATCAGAACTTTGACTGTTTGGTGGTCCGTTCAAGCCTTTGGTTTGTGCGTGTCGGTGATGTTTCTCGCCGTTTTATCGATGGAACGCGTTTACGCCGTGTTTTGGCCACTGCGTCATCGCGTAACAAGCGCTCGAGCTTACATTTTCAGCATCGTTATCGTCTGGGTAATTGGGTTATGCACCACAGGTCTGTCTTTTTTAACAGTATATCACGCAGATGTGGATACCGTTTATGCCGTGGCCACTGCTGATTTTCTCCTTTTTATTTCACTAGTCATTATCTGCGCAAGTTACTTATCTATTCGTTCGCGACTGTACGCTACAAAACCTGACTTACAAGACGGCCAAAGAAGATCAACGCGCGACCAGAATATACGACTTTCAAAGACATTTTACATAATTGTCGCTGTGTCGCTCATCTTTTGGTTGCCTAGTTTCGTGGTGTACACCATCAACGCATTTTGTTGGCAGTGTTTTTCTCCGACGTTGCTGTGGTTTGGCCAAGGTCTACAATTAGCAAATTCGATGGTGAATCCGTTCGTGTATAGCTTTAGGATGAAAATATTTAAAGATACCTTGAAAAAGTGCTTGAAAAAGCGCGATGATTTAAAACCTGTTACCCTCCGAGTGCAAAACGCACCCCAAGAATTTACCGCGCACTTATAACTGAAAACTGAAAACTGGACTTGACAAACGTCCGTACAGAACTTTATTGTACACTTTGGTTGTGTTGCCAGTGATATTCGTTTGTATAATTTGCTGTCGATTATCTTTATTGAACTCTCGTCATCCAAAACATTGACTGAATTAATTAAAAGCTTCTAATCCGAACGTGAATGAAAAGCTGAAACATTTAGCTATGTGCCGCTTTAGGTTAAGCCATTTTAAAAGAAAATCAGTTATCAGGGAAATCAAGGTTACTTCAGAAACTTCGAGCAACTCGTCAATCTTAAAATTCTGCTGATTGCAACCTTTGCAATGGATGGTTTTTACCTCTTTATTGATTTGTCTTTTTATCATCTCGGCAAGTGAGAGGCTCATGAGCTTTCGTTGAAGCTTGTGGTTCATGTTTAAACTCGTTTCCGCTCCCTTTCGTGCCCTCGAGCTCCGAGAATGTTTTTTAAACATGAGCGGAATTGAATGAGCCGGATTATAAAAATTATCTACGGCAGATGAGCATTTCATGATATTGCTATCACGTCTACTAGACTACAGGATAGTGAGGACGCCAATTCACGATTATATCAAATCTTCAAGGCACATGTACTGGAAATAAATAATGCTGAACCGGACAAAAGAAAAAAGTAATGGTTATGATTAATTAAACTTTAATTCAGACTTTATTTATCCTCGGCAATGTTTATAGCCGCACAAGTGCTAATGGGGCCGAGCAAACTACTGAAACAAAAAAATTCATATTGAACATAACATTGTTAAGAATCCCAATTGGTCGGAGGCAAACTAGTTGGCTATTTACAAGCGTGGCTTTGAACTCGGGCGCTACCGAGAAACAAATCCAGGTAGTGATCAGAGCGGGACTCCAACCCGGGACCGCTGGATTGCGAGTCCGACACGCTGACTACTCGGCCACGCCGCCTCCTCCTATGATGGTGGCAAAACAAGTTCTGATTCCAGTGATGATAATACTTGGGAATTTGACCTGAATGAATGAATTGTTTATAACATTGCCAATTGGCAATGGCGAAGTCAAGTTAACAAGGCTCACGCCTTGAGAGCGAATCATTTGATTTATGATGCTACGTTGATGGCCCGGCTGCGATAGGTAGATATAGCTAAATAAAAAAAATTGACAACCGATGAATTTGGTGAAATTAATAACATCCTTGTTGCTAGCTTTAAAAAAATAGTTTTGCAATCAAGTAATGTGGCCATAATCCGTATGCTAAAATACTGATTTTCTTCATTTTGTCCTTTAATGTGTGTAAATGCCGCGTCGACGCTATGCCAGAAGAATTTAAAAGCGGAGGTTTCACTCTGAAAACGCATCAAATATTTTCCGTCCACGTTACGCCGGAAACTGAAAATTTTAAAACGCAACAACCATTGGTCATTTTGGATTTGTGTTTGAGTAAAACTCGAGCAGGGGAATCACGTGATTATCGTAATGTCATCGTTTTCGAAAAGCTTCGTTTCAAAACTTGGTTTTCCATCCACACTAAAACGGCGGCGTTTTTATTTAATTTCTCCAGTTTGAAGAGCGTTTTCGAAAAGCTCTGTTTTCATAACGGATCAGTGTGAACGGTGCGCCTAACCGGAGAAACAGAGCTCCGTTTTCAAATTTCTGCGGCGTTTATTATGAGTTCTGATTGTCCAAAGCTCTGGCATATCAGTAGCAGTAATCACAATTTAGTTTTCTGATATCCGGTTAGGAATCTTAAGCAATGACGACAGCGACGCCAAAGACGACGCCTAGTAAAAAATGGATTTATATTTTACCTTCGAATTTCGCAATTCAGCTGGGTCTGTTCGGTTCACCGATCGCCCTGAGAACCTGCTCAAACTGAACACATATTGCCAGTGATCATTTCCAAAAGAAAAGATGAAAAATTTGCCCTCTAGGCCCACGTTCTTCTAAATACGTAGAACTCAGCATTTCACGTTGTTGTTTTGCAGAATCCGGCTAAGAAACGAACACAGTTTTATAACGCACGTGCATAGGCGTTGTTCTTCTCATCAAACCTTTTGTTGTGTAGCGTTAAGGTTTTCGCTTTCGTTGCCGTCGAGGTTTGCTTAAGCTCCTTTTTGAGAAAAACACAACGTCAACTTGAACAGAAATCAATGTTATAGTATTCCACTTTTTGGTGTTCAATATTGTGGCACGTTGGATCTCCTTACACACTCTGCGGATAGGTTACTTATGGAATGAAACTTTAGCATTCTACGTATAAAGTAAAGCTTGATCTCTCTTAGACACTTCCCCCGAGACTCAATAAAGGGACGGATGTTTGCACTTTGATGACAACGATTATTTTGTCGCCTGGATATCATTTCAACACCTAGTTTAATTTACATATATAGCGAAAGTGCACATCATCAGAAGCAAATAGTCTTAATTAAAATAAAAAACGTTTCCTTCACATTAATATTCTTCGCCTTATACCCTGCCTTTTAAGGCAATCACTTTTATTATTTGCATTTGCTCTCCTTCACTAAAAACCTCTCTGATCTTTAAACCTCAGACATCTAAATGATAAAAACAGGAAAGTAATCCTTGATCTCTGAAATCAAACGAAGGAAGGCAGTATTCCAAAGCAAAGACGATACCATGTTAAACGCAACCATCGCCACTGCATTCATCGTCATTCTCGCACTCGAGGCAGCCGTCATTATAATTGGGAACGTGTTCACCATTTTTGTTTTTAAGACTCAATCTAGACTCCACTTGAAACGAACTTGCATTCTTCTAATCAACCTGGCCGTCGCTGATCTGTTTGTGGGAGTAGGAGAAGTCGTAGTTCTGATCACCCACAAAATTTCGGGATCAGAAATCGGATTGCTAAACCTTTCTTTTACTTTTCAAGCTTTTGGGTCGTGTGCTTCGTTGATGTTTCTCGCTCTTATTTCGCTTGAACGCGTTTACTCCGTGTTCTGGCCACTGCGTCATCGCGTAACAAGCGCTCGAGCTTACATTTTCGGCATCGTTATCGTCTGGGTACTTGGCTTATCCAACGGTGGGCTAAATATGATAACAGTATTCCACTCACAGGTAGACAGCATTTATGCTACAGTCGCCGGTGATTTATTACTTTTCTTCTGTCTGGGTGCCATCTGTGCAAGTTACCTATCGATCCGTTCTCGACTGTACGCAACAAAACCTGAATTGCAAGCCTCCCACAGAAGATCAACGCGGGAACAGAATTTGCGTCTTTCAAAGACATTTTACATAGTGGTCGCTGTGTCGCTTATCTTTTGGTCGCCTGGTTTCGTGGTGTACAACATCAGCGCATTTTGTTGGCAGTGTTTTTCTCCAAAGATACTTTGGTTTGTCAATGCTCTACACTTAGCAAATTCTATGGTGAATCCATTCGTATACAGTTTTAGGATGAAAATATTTCAAGATTCTTTGAAAAAGTGCTGGAAAAAGCGCCAACAAAGCATCGCACTAACAGCTCTTCCCGTGAACAGGCAATGAGGACGCTAGATCTTTACTATTTTGTCACGATTTACAACGAATGCTCAATGCTGTTAGTCCTCAGATCACGCGACTTTCTCACCCCTGTGGCAGCTCCTGTATTCTACACACTGTTTTTGACAGATTCTGGTAGATTTTAACATGCAATCAGTTCTCTTTTAAGCCGTAATCGTTCTTTATAATAATTGTTTTTTAGTGAATGGATTAGACAGGTAAATCTACTTGTTTGAGGGTGTTTTTTTAAGGGTAAAAAAATTGGCCGAGGTTGCAAAAGCGAGACATTCACTTTCTTCAAATAAGATTTTACAGGCGTGATATGAGTATAATATATCTTCTTTTTTTTTTTAATTTGCAGTCTTGAGAGCCTCATTGTAGTTTTCAGGAGATATTGGTCTAAAAAGTGAAAATTTTGATGTCAAGATTAAGAATAAGATTTTTGATATCCAATAAACACAAGTAGTCACCTCGTCGCTATGGTAATTCCAACTGCTGTTTTGGAAGGTTCATTCTCAAACTCATGGATAATTTATCAAGTTTAAACAAAGGAAATCGTGACCGTGACGGTGTTTGGATATCTGATCTTTATTAGCATAGATTTTTTAGATCTTATTTTTCCGTTTTTTCCTTAGTTTTAGTTTCGATTGAGAAGATATATCAAACACTCAATAGAGTGTTTGACCACATTTTCAAACGTCTCGAAGTTCGTCAAAAATACAGCGCTACGCGTCGTATTTTCCACTCTCTTCTCGGCGTTTGGAAATGTAGTCTTTAGTGTTTGATATATGACTTGAATTAGTTTTAGACAGAACTGCAATGAAAAGCGATAGGCCTAAAGACATTACTTGTAAGCTCAGTAACAGAGTAAGCTGGACCAGTTACAAAAGATAGTATGATCTAACTTATTGTGTGTTGATTTTCTCGCTCGCGAAATTTGTGTATTAGGTATCGTGGTACATCTACTGTCGATACCCGTCATTTTCACGACATTGGAGCATAAACTAACGTTCTTAGTATGTTTGCTGAAAGCCATTTGTATTTATACAAGAAGACGATAAAAGCTGATGCGTCAATCACGGTGACGTCCAACTTTCCTTGTGCTTTACATTCTGTCTTTGTACAGCTCCATCATCACAATGATGGCTAAAGACAATTTTCCAAAAGTGGGAGACTTAAAGTATTTCTCCCGAACTTTTTTTGAAATTAAAACACAGAAAGTGCGTCAGAGTAGAAGTAACAATTATGGAAACTGTAAGATTAAAAACTATTAGCCACGAGTAGTCCTTGGTAGTTACTCAGCTTTTTATACTTTAACGAACATTCATGTACCTGTGGCTTTCTATTGTTTGCCAAATACCATCGAAAAACAGTTACGCTTGGCAAAAATTCGTAAAAACGGTTCCGTTTTGAATGGACTACATCCTCGGAGACCCAGGGGCTACTAGCCGGGACGAAGCGATATTTTCGGGCGAGCGAAATTTTCGGGCGAAAGTTTACTCCAAGTGCTGAAGAGCTCCTGGGAACTTACCTAACCAGTTCCAGAAGTGGAAGAATTCCGTCCCTCTGATTGGCCAGAAAAGAAAAATATTTTTCTGGCCAATCATAGGGATGGAATTCGACCAAAGAAAAGAAAAAAATATTTACAAGCAACACGATTTCCTGATCAAACGCCGCTGCCACTCTATTAATTAATCCTTNTATCTACGGCAGATGAGCATTTCATGATATTGCTATCACGTCTACTAGACTACAGGATAGTGAGGACGCCAATTCACGATTATATCAAATCTTCAAGGCACATGTACTGGAAATAAATAATGCTGAACCGGACAAAAGAAAAAAGTAATGGTTATGATTAATTAAACTTTAATTCAGACTTTATTTATCCTCGGCAATGTTTATAGCCGCACAAGTGCTAATGGGGCCGAGCAAACTACTGAAACAAAAAAATTCATATTGAACATAACATTGTTAAGAATCCCAATTGGTCGGAGGCAAACTAGTTGGCTATTTACAAGCGTGGCTTTGAACTCGGGCGCTACCGAGAAACAAATCCAGGTAGTGATCAGAGCGGGACTCCAACCCGGGACCGCTGGATTGCGAGTCCGACACGCTGACTACTCGGCCACGCCGCCTCCTCCTATGATGGTGGCAAAACAAGTTCTGATTCCAGTGATGATAATACTTGGGAATTTGACCTGAATGAATGAATTGTTTATAACATTGCCAATTGGCAATGGCGAAGTCAAGTTAACAAGGCTCACGCCTTGAGAGCGAATCATTTGATTTATGATGCTACGTTGATGGCCCGGCTGCGATAGGTAGATATAGCTAAATAAAAAAAATTGACAACCGATGAATTTGGTGAAATTAATAACATCCTTGTTGCTAGCTTTAAAAAAATAGTTTTGCAATCAAGTAATGTGGCCATAATCCGTATGCTAAAATACTGATTTTCTTCATTTTGTCCTTTAATGTGTGTAAATGCCGCGTCGACGCTATGCCAGAAGAATTTAAAAGCGGAGGTTTCACTCTGAAAACGCATCAAATATTTTCCGTCCACGTTACGCCGGAAACTGAAAATTTTAAAACGCAACAACCATTGGTCATTTTGGATTTGTGTTTGAGTAAAACTCGAGCAGGGGAATCACGTGATTATCGTAATGTCATCGTTTTCGAAAAGCTTCGTTTCAAAACTTGGTTTTCCATCCACACTAAAACGGCGGCGTTTTTATTTAATTTCTCCAGTTTGAAGAGCGTTTTCGAAAAGCTCTGTTTTCATAACGGATCAGTGTGAACGGTGCGCCTAACCGGAGAAACAGAGCTCCGTTTTCAAATTTCTGCGGCGTTTATTATGAGTTCTGATTGTCCAAAGCTCTGGCATATCAGTAGCAGTAATCACAATTTAGTTTTCTGATATCCGGTTAGGAATCTTAAGCAATGACGACAGCGACGCCAAAGACGACGCCTAGTAAAAAATGGATTTATATTTTACCTTCGAATTTCGCAATTCAGCTGGGTCTGTTCGGTTCACCGATCGCCCTGAGAACCTGCTCAAACTGAACACATATTGCCAGTGATCATTTCCAAAAGAAAAGATGAAAAATTTGCCCTCTAGGCCCACGTTCTTCTAAATACGTAGAACTCAGCATTTCACGTTGTTGTTTTGCAGAATCCGGCTAAGAAACGAACACAGTTTTATAACGCACGTGCATAGGCGTTGTTCTTCTCATCAAACCTTTTGTTGTGTAGCGTTAAGGTTTTCGCTTTCGTTGCCGTCGAGGTTTGCTTAAGCTCCTTTTTGAGAAAAACACAACGTCAACTTGAACAGAAATCAATGTTATAGTATTCCACTTTTTGGTGTTCAATATTGTGGCACGTTGGATCTCCTTACACACTCTGCGGATAGGTTACTTATGGAATGAAACTTTAGCATTCTACGTATAAAGTAAAGCTTGATCTCTCTTAGACACTTCCCCCGAGACTCAATAAAGGGACGGATGTTTGCACTTTGATGACAACGATTATTTTGTCGCCTGGATATCATTTCAACACCTAGTTTAATTTACATATATAGCGAAAGTGCACATCATCAGAAGCAAATAGTCTTAATTAAAATAAAAAACGTTTCCTTCACATTAATATTCTTCGCCTTATACCCTGCCTTTTAAGGCAATCACTTTTATTATTTGCATTTGCTCTCCTTCACTAAAAACCTCTCTGATCTTTAAACCTCAGACATCTAAATGATAAAAACAGGAAAGTAATCCTTGATCTCTGAAATCAAACGAAGGAAGGCAGTATTCCAAAGCAAAGACGATACCATGTTAAACGCAACCATCGCCACTGCATTCATCGTCATTCTCGCACTCGAGGCAGCCGTCATTATAATTGGGAACGTGTTCACCATTTTTGTTTTTAAGACTCAATCTAGACTCCACTTGAAACGAACTTGCATTCTTCTAATCAACCTGGCCGTCGCTGATCTGTTTGTGGGAGTAGGAGAAGTCGTAGTTCTGATCACCCACAAAATTTCGGGATCAGAAATCGGATTGCTAAACCTTTCTTTTACTTTTCAAGCTTTTGGGTCGTGTGCTTCGTTGATGTTTCTCGCTCTTATTTCGCTTGAACGCGTTTACTCCGTGTTCTGGCCACTGCGTCATCGCGTAACAAGCGCTCGAGCTTACATTTTCGGCATCGTTATCGTCTGGGTACTTGGCTTATCCAACGGTGGGCTAAATATGATAACAGTATTCCACTCACAGGTAGACAGCATTTATGCTACAGTCGCCGGTGATTTATTACTTTTCTTCTGTCTGGGTGCCATCTGTGCAAGTTACCTATCGATCCGTTCTCGACTGTACGCAACAAAACCTGAATTGCAAGCCTCCCACAGAAGATCAACGCGGGAACAGAATTTGCGTCTTTCAAAGACATTTTACATAGTGGTCGCTGTGTCGCTTATCTTTTGGTCGCCTGGTTTCGTGGTGTACAACATCAGCGCATTTTGTTGGCAGTGTTTTTCTCCAAAGATACTTTGGTTTGTCAATGCTCTACACTTAGCAAATTCTATGGTGAATCCATTCGTATACAGTTTTAGGATGAAAATATTTCAAGATTCTTTGAAAAAGTGCTGGAAAAAGCGCCAACAAAGCATCGCACTAACAGCTCTTCCCGTGAACAGGCAATGAGGACGCTAGATCTTTACTATTTTGTCACGATTTACAACGAATGCTCAATGCTGTTAGTCCTCAGATCACGCGACTTTCTCACCCCTGTGGCAGCTCCTGTATTCTACACACTGTTTTTGACAGATTCTGGTAGATTTTAACATGCAATCAGTTCTCTTTTAAGCCGTAATCGTTCTTTATAATAATTGTTTTTTAGTGAATGGATTAGACAGGTAAATCTACTTGTTTGAGGGTGTTTTTTTAAGGGTAAAAAAATTGGCCGAGGTTGCAAAAGCGAGACATTCACTTTCTTCAAATAAGATTTTACAGGCGTGATATGAGTATAATATATCTTCTTTTTTTTTTTAATTTGCAGTCTTGAGAGCCTCATTGTAGTTTTCAGGAGATATTGGTCTAAAAAGTGAAAATTTTGATGTCAAGATTAAGAATAAGATTTTTGATATCCAATAAACACAAGTAGTCACCTCGTCGCTATGGTAATTCCAACTGCTGTTTTGGAAGGTTCATTCTCAAACTCATGGATAATTTATCAAGTTTAAACAAAGGAAATCGTGACCGTGACGGTGTTTGGATATCTGATCTTTATTAGCATAGATTTTTTAGATCTTATTTTTCCGTTTTTTCCTTAGTTTTAGTTTCGATTGAGAAGATATATCAAACACTCAATAGAGTGTTTGACCACATTTTCAAACGTCTCGAAGTTCGTCAAAAATACAGCGCTACGCGTCGTATTTTCCACTCTCTTCTCGGCGTTTGGAAATGTAGTCTTTAGTGTTTGATATATGACTTGAATTAGTTTTAGACAGAACTGCAATGAAAAGCGATAGGCCTAAAGACATTACTTGTAAGCTCAGTA